TCAACTTAATTAAAAGCAGCACAGAGGCGCTCATTTTATCATCGAGCTTCTCGGTTTTCATTATTATTGGGCCATTGGAGAAGTCGCTAAACAATTTTTTAGTGTGGGCAGGTGGCGTGGTAACTTTTACAGTATTTCGAAGAGAAGGAAGTGGTTAAGAAATTTGATAAAAATTCAGTGAGGGGAAACTCGACATGAAAAGAGAAACAAAATTGTCTAAATCTCGAACATGTTTTCTGTTAAAACTTTTTCTAGACTAAAATCTACTCTTTTGTGTGTTGGATTTTGAAACTAGATAAACTTATTTATGCCTCATTTAGTCGCAGGGTTGGTATCTTAAGGAGGTTTGATCGAATTAGGAACGAAACTTCTTGCAAACCAATTCATGCGGTAGATTTCAGCGTTACCTAAGACTCATCAGCAGTTTCTGCCAGCCCCTTTATTGAGTCAAGTGAATAGGCTTAAAACTTTAAAGTAGTTTGCCAGTAAATAAATTTCTAAAACATTTTGGTTTTCTAATTTTCAAATATGTTTTATGTTGTTTTACTTTTGACTAATTTTTATCGTTTTTTCTTTTAACTGCGTTTCCGTAGCACTACGATAACAGATTTATGCATTTTTCTGTTTTTTTTTTTCTAGAGATTGTTAATTTCTATAATATTTTTACGACACCTTTCTAAGATACTTTTTAGCCTTAATTTTCAATCTTAGTTGGACTTGTTTTTGATTTGTTTGACACATAATTGCAAAGATTCTTGGGCGTAAAGTAATAATTGAAAAAAAGTTAAAGATTTTTCAAATTAAAAAAAAAATAAAACTAAGTTTTTTATTTAAAGCTTTTATACAAATAAATGCATTTATGTCTGTCTAATAATATTTTGTTTACATTTTTCTACTTTTTCTTGTTAATTTTTATAAAATTTTTACTATGCTTTTCTTGTTACTTCATTGCAGATATTCTTAGAAGTTTAAAACCTTTATAAAATAATTGTAATGCTTCAAATTTCATTCGCAAAACGCTCTAAACCCACCGAAATACTCGTAAGCAGAAATAATGCATTTCAAATATAAAAAAAAATATATATGTTATTTTGTAACTTTCTGCCTAGCTTTGATAAAATATTTCGATTTTTTGAAATTCTTAGAGAAATACTTTTAAATGCTCTGAAAATTGTATTTTAAAACAATAATTTTTTTAGAATTTTAAAAACATGCAAAATTAACTTATTTTTAAATTTCGGGGTGGGTTGTAGAAGCGTTATTAAATTAATTGCAATCAAAAGACAGATTACTAGTCACGTGATTAAATTGAACCAACCAAATGCTCAAATTCACAGATTAAATTTGTTTGTTAAATTTTTTCGAATTCAATAAATTTCACTATGGAATGCGCTTCACTTTAAATTTGTAAAATAACCTGTTGCCAGATCTAATTTTGTTATTTCCTATTTTTTTTTGGCAAAATGTATCAAATTGTGAGTTTCTTGTTAAAAAATACTCTAAAGCTCAAAAAAATAACAATTTTTTTATGTAAATTTGCAACTTTGTTGTGTTTGGTTTTCAGAAAACGCAATAAACTTACCGAAATAAGCAAAAATAATGCACTTCAGAATTAATTCAGTAACTTTTACTGAGATTCTTCAAAAAATATAATGAAATAAATAATTCAAAAAAATTTGCAGTATAATTTTCGCTAATTACACAAATTTTTATAATCTATTATTCAAAAACCAGAAAAACCTAAAACCATTAACGAAAAAATCAGTAAAAGCTCGCAAAACTGTAGTAAATGTAATTCAAAATTCGAAAAATAAAAAAAAAATTTCATCGAAAAACAAAAATTTTAAATGTTTTGCAAAACTGCAGTAATTAAAATTTTTAAATTTAAAATAAAACTTATGTTATTTTTGGCAAGTTCTTATTAATTAAAGTTTGAGTATTCAACATTTTAACATAATCTTTTAATATTGTGTTTAAAATTCAAAATCTAACACTATTTTTGAGTTGATAATTGAAATTTGATATGTAACTAATTAAATTGTGTGTTTTGAAATATTTTATTTTAGAAATTATTGTTTTTTGTGGTGTACTAGTCAAACTGAAATTTTTGACAAATAATAACAAAATTAAAATGACGTAAATCAGCCTAAATTTTTTGTTGATGTTACAGGTTACACTATTAGATTTTTTTTAGTTTTTAATTAATATGAATTATGTTATTCCAATAACATAGCAACCAAGTCACCTCAATACCGTTCATCCCATTGTAATTATAAGTAATGACAGGAAGTAAAAATGTGTATTTGCAAGGATGAATTAGCCAAGCAGATCAATCTAACGGAACTAGCAGATGATGTAATTGCAAAATTTCGTATAATTTTTTTATTTTTCAAAACATTTGCATATGTATGCAAACAAACAAGTTCATTGTTACAATTTGACCATGGCCGTTCAAATAATTAACGAGTACACCCACATAAACTCCAAGACTTATTTATGGGGCAGTTGAGTGCACAATAGAGCGACAAACACGCAAATAATTTATATTTGAAGCTTTATTTCTGTGAAAAAATAAAAATCTCCAGCCACTTTTCAATTTTAAATATGTCAATTTTCATTAATCTAGAATTTATTTACTAACTGAAAATGAAATAATATTAGAATTGAATTAGTGGGTTTTAAACGCACCACAGTTTTGTTAGGTTTTTATCAGTGTCAGAATGATTGTCAGGTTTTCGGTATTTAGTGTTCATCAATAATGTGTATGCCTACATGGTGTGACAAAATGTAGTCATTTAGAACATTAGCAAACAATGAGCTGAATGAAAAATAATAGCGGTGACAATTAATCGCCGTTTTGACAAAAGAAGAGTATTTTATGTCATCAAAAGCTTTGTCTTTCTTATTTTTATAATTTCGTTTTTTTTGAGCTGCTTATAAAGTGAGCAACAATTATGGAATAATCTTATTTATTAAAACTGGAAATATTTTGTTTACAAAAATGCTCAAACAGGTCAATTTAGTGCAAAAAAGAGGAAGAATTGCAGATGCAACACTTGAATGATTTGTCTCAAAATGATTTTCCTAATAAATAAAGTAGAGAAGACACTTCAGTGATATCACAAGTATTTTCGTGTGGTTGTTTTTACAAAAACGTGTTTTAGAAATTGTTTTAAAATTCAAGTTGTGTTTTGTCAATGTATCTTAGCCAAAAAATTAAAACTTTTGTAATAATAATATACAAAACTAAGAAATAATCATGCGAAAATATAAAAGCTAAAACATTGAAATGAAGGCAGTTAGTTTCTTCTGAAAATCTAAAAAAAAATTAGAGATGAATCTAGAAACAAATGTAAGAAATGCTGAAGAAGAGCAAGAGATATGTAATAATATTTGTAATAAATAATAATAATTTATTTTTTGGTTTTTCTTTT